TTACGGCTAAGAAACATTACATGTCTGCACTGGGACAGTTTTGATTTAACTCTGCCTGATGATAAATAGCTTTTAAAGGGGACGTGTTTTGTAAAATGTATTTCCTGAATCTTCTGTGGCAGCCATTCAGGGGTTTCTGAACACCTGACCCTAAACAGCGCTCCTTCAGACTAGCAGCAGCAGCTATCAGCAAACACCTGGTGGAACTATGAGTCTGCTGAGTCTCGCCATGCAAACCATTGATCTGTGATACTTTAATTACAGTTATAAACAGCATCAGGAGGAGCATTGTTCTTCAGGTTTTCTCACGCCTTCATCACGTTCCACCAGAATCTGATCTTTACCAGCAGCTTCAACCCCGGATCTGATGTCACGTCTTCATCGTTAATGTCACACATCAACACTCGGCTTCCCCATTTCTGTTATGGTTCTGATCCAGATTACATCAAAAAACAGGCGTTTAACAAAGACTGACATGATACATAAGGCGCCACAACGACCAGCTAGTCCACGGGAAACATTCAGCTTCCTGAAGAACCGCAGAGGATCTCAGTCCCTCCTCCTCTTCCTCTTCTTCCTCCTCCAAACTCCCAGAGCAGTTGACCTCTGAACAGCCTCATTAAGGATTCAGCAAAGTCCTGAGGCAAGAAGTCAGCAGGGAGACGGCGTCTCTCAGCTGATGCTACTGACCCACTTCGTCCTGCTCTGGTAAAGCCTGATGTTCCACGCAGGAAACGCTTGTCTTGGTTAATAACTGCAGGTTTCTGCTTCCTTCAGACAGCGCTCTTCTGGACAGTGACTCCCTGTCAGAAAATCTAAGGAGCAAAAACATCTAACATGGTTTTTACAGAAAAAAATGCCTTAAAGATGTGTTTTCAGAGACAACGTGACATTTTATAACACAATCATTGATCTCTGTTGACTTAAAATAAATTAGACTTTGTAATTTGACACCTAGAAATTAGGTCTCTGTCTCTTTAAGAAGCTCCTGCTGTTTCTGACACACCGCCTTCAGCATATTATTAAAACAATCCTTTACCATTAATCCTTTATTGTTTGTATAAAGAGCTCAGCAGATGCAGTTTCACCAGTTGTTTGCTAATTTCTGCTGCTAGTCTGAAGGAGCTGAATGGGATTCAAGAGAATAAAGCAAGACTATGCTTGTTGTTGATGGGGAAATAACGTTAAAACATGATATAAAGCTAAAAATTTAAGTTTTACACAAAAAATGTATGCATAAAATGTTTAGTCCTTTAAAAATGACTGAAAGTTCTTGCAGAAGGTGGAGAGTTTAATCCAGTTTACAAAATATTTCACAACATGAAGGAGAGATCTGGAAAGAAACACGGATAATTACCTTGTTTTGGTGCTGTAGCCAACATTTTCTATCATAAGATTTTAATTTGTCTGCAATAAATAAGAGTTAAAATTTAAAAATTCTGGGCCGCACAAGATCAGTCCAGGGTCCATAAACAGATCCCGGACCACACTTTGAACATCGCTGTAACAGATGGTGTTCAAATGTTTTTTCTTTCATTTCTACGATTTTTGTGTCCCGATTTCTGGGTTTCCTGTTTGCTGCATCATCTCAGGAGGTCTGGGAGATACTACAGGCTGGGTGGAGATGTTTTATCACACGCGCACACACACGCACACACACACACTGTCTCTGCTGTTCTGAGACAAACACACAATGTTCCCAGCTGTAAGACATGCTGTCAGACAGACGCAGAGGGTTGGACAGCAGACAGGAGGGACGGTGGACGATGAAGAGAGACAGAAAGAGAAACAAACAGATGGTCTCACCTCTCTGCGCGTCTCCCTCCGACTGTTGTCATGGCACGTCAGCCTCTCCTCCCTCTGCCTCCGGGAGCAGCTGATGGACTCGGACCACGTCTCCCAGAGTTCCTCTGGGGTTCCTCTCGGATCTGCACTGACTCTGGGGCTGCAGCGGAGGATTCTGGGAGCCGTAGTTTCCCTCCTGAGGGGCTCTGGGGCTCAGCTGAGAGTTGTCTGCTGACGAGCGAGTGCTGTTTCACCGCTACTCAGCAGAACACTGCAGCCTGGTCCTGAAACAGCAGCTCCAAGGACAGCAGGAGGAGGAGGAGGAGGAAGATGATTGGATGGAGGAGATGGAGGGATGGACAAAGACAGCAGAGGATGATGAGACTGAAAAACATTATGAAATATCTCAGAAAAACAGCTGATTCTTAGGCTTTGAGATAAAAAATAAAAATATTTTACATAGAAACAATAGAAAACAATTATAAATTACAGATAATTACATAATTATTTCAGGTTTCTCAAAATCTTTTCTTTATAAATCATTTCAAGATGCTGATATAACACTTTTAAACACAAAACCTAAATGTTTCAGTTTATAATAGAGAACCTCACTGCTGTTGTTTTCTTCTTTATCAGGATCTGAGGCGGTTTCTGCTGCATCAGCGCCCTCTGCTGGTTGGACTTCAGCAGGACAGAAACGTAATTTAATGATCACTTTCCCATCATTCTAAAGATCTAACGTAGTTTTTACAGAAAAGGTGCATTAAAGAGGCAGTATTATATATTTTCCAAATACAATCAAGTAACTGTCGCCTTCAGTTATTATAAAAATGTTATATTTATCAACAGAGGAGAGTAGAGTAAGTACAAATGGATTGAAATTAAGTAAAAACATGTTTTTACTCAAGTAAAAGTAAAAAGTACCCATTGAAGAATAAAAAAAGTATTTGGTAAAAAGGCGACTAAAGTACTGAGTAACTGATTGAATCATAAATCATTTAATATTTAAAAATTAAAGCATCGACAAACCAAAATATAAAGTTATGTGGAAATTTGAGCATTTTAGAAACCAAAATGGAAATAATTAGTTATGAATAACTGAATATATTTAAGAAAAAATTTTCAACATAAAACTTATGAAACTTTAACAAAAACTGGATGTGTGTGTCTGGTGAATCTTTGTAATTTATACTAAGTAGAGAATCCAGACATTTTACTCAAGTAAAAGTAGCAACAATACTTCATAAATTTCTCAAATAAAACTACAAAGTACAGGACAGTTTTTAGTTACTCAAGTAAATGTATCTGATTAAATGTAACTAGTTATTACCCTTCTTTGTATGGCAAACATAACTGAAATGAGATTTAACTTCCACCTTGACATCCTGAAATTTGGGCCGCTGTCTCTTTAAGAAGCTCCTACTGTTTCTGACGTCACTCAGCCCATGCTCACCAATGCTCCTCATTATGCCGTTTACAAACCTTCATAAGAGCTCAGCAGAAGTGCAGTTACACCATGTGTTTGCGAACAGCTGCTGCCGCTAGTCTGAAGGGGTTAACTGAGATTCAAGGATTTTTTGATGAGGGAAGATTATAACATGATGTAAAATTTTTTAAAAGTAAATTTTATATGATATCCTTGAAAAACAACTGTTTTATTAGTAAATTTATTTAACTGCGTTTCCAATAAAACATTGGATCAAAATTTATTCTAAACAGAAAATTATCAACAATCAAATGTTTTTTTTTTTTTTTTATGAAAGCATTTTATTTTGAAATCGTGATCAAATCGTTTTTTGAAACGTACAGACGTCAACATTATTCCACACAGCAGAATGATTGAACCCGAGTCAGCTGGGTTGACTTGAGGTCGTCTGAGGGCATGCGGAAGTGATGACGTCATCGGTGTGTGACGTCAGGCTCGCGCGCCCTCAGTGACCTCTTATCAGCTGTCCGACCTTGATTCAGCCGACTCAAATAAATAAATAATGATTAAAAAAACAATCAACCCGTCAGTAATGTTAATAAATACATCAATAAATACAAAATAAATATCAATAAATAAAGAAAAACAGCATAGTTAACCAGCAGATAATAAATAACAAATAAACATAAACATAATAAATGGTGACTGTTTCCAGAAAAAAAAAGTCTGTTAATTTGAAAACATAAAAAAATAAAAAAATAGCCCAATACTTTCACTTCCTGCTGCTGCTTCAGAATAAAAGCATGTCGGTAAACAGGATCCCAGTTGTTTTTACACTAACATTTATCTTTTGGTTGAAGAGTAAAAGCTGTTTCTCATGTTGCAGGCAGGTGGCAGCATAACGCTCATGTAGTGCGGAGGTTGTTTACATTAACAAGATGTAAACAATGTGTTTGATCCGACTGTTTCTGCAGTAATAAAAGTTCAACTCTGACCCATTTCAGCCTCCGGTGATAAGAAGCTTCAACATCCATCAAACTGTTTGCTGTCAGTCTGCAGCGTCTCCGCTAATGAGGCCGATAAGCAGCGGGAGAGATTCCTCCGAGCGGGTCCGGACCTGCAGAACCTCCATCAGAACCCACAACCAGCTCTTTGTGGTTTCCTTTAAGGTTTGTAAACACGGCAGCGCCTGCATTCCTGCGAATCCTCGAAATGCGCAGCGGCCCGACGTGCCGGAACAAACACCGAGCTTCAGGATTCATCTGGATCTGATTCAGCGCGGCTGGCCCGATAACCGGCCTGCAGCTTTTATCTGGCAGAACCAAACCAGATCCGTCAGTCCGTTCTGCCTGAGCTCTGACTACAGACCACTACAGATGTGCGCAAATCTTTGTAGCTGCGCCTTCACTGACTGGGAAAACTGGAATTAGGAAATTAAATTTGGACCATTTTGGAAAAACGTAAAAATTTTGTTAAAACATTTTTGGGGTTTTCAGCTCCATCAAAGTTAATGCAGTTCGTAAAATTTGTTCGAGTCACGTGGTCAACAACCGGATATTACTACTGGCATGCAGAAGACAGGAAGTGGTTGGAGCTTGACATGTTTTTTAAATTACTTATTGAGTGAACAAACTTATTCATGCGTGATTTTAATTGCTTTTCTAATTTAATTTAATTGCAAACTTTTTTTTACGTTTGTGTAATATCTTCAAAGTTTTGTGCAGAAATGCAGCTAATATTCTGCTAATACTCACAAAAACACGTTAAAATCACACATGAATACGTTTGTTCAAGCTGTAAATTATTTAAAAACATTCACCACCATGAACCTCTGACTACTTCCTGTCGTCGTCTTCTTCTTGGTTTCTACCAGTAGTAACATCCTGCTGTTGACCATGTGACTCGTGTGACTGCAGGCTCGCAAAATAAATCAATTTTTATGCCTCATCCTGGCACCGAAGTTTTTTTTAATATCAAAATAAATGTAATAGTCAATGGAAGCGCAGATACTGAGTCGACCCAGGTGGGCGGGGCTTAGCGTCCACCTGCAGCTCACGGCCTGTAGGTGGAGAGGACTCTGAAGGTCCGGTTCAGGTCATGACAGAAGGAGCGCAGCTGAGTCAACGTCAGGTGGAGCGCCACCTGGATGTTGTGGCTGTCCTGGAGATGAGAGGTCAGGTCCGTGCTCGGGTTCTGATCCGAAACGTCCGCCGTTAGTTGCGCCACCTCCTTTAGCTGGAACAAACAGACAGCTGTTAGCCAATCAGACGCCTGATCACGTGGCGGGCGGTCACATGACGCGAGGCTTTACCTTGTTGATGTGGTTCAGCAGGTCACGCAGGTCCGCTCTCAGGTCATCCAGACCGCTCACTTTGCTGGACAGAACCTCCAGCAGGTTCTGATACATCTGAACACCTGCTAGCATTCGGCTAACGCATGTCTCCTGCAGGGGGCGATAAAATCATGATCAAACTCCTACAGACGTTCTGAGCTGAAATATTCTCAAACATGATCACTAAAAAAAAATAAAATATTACCAGTTGTTTTTGGTCTAGTTTTCAGTACAAACATTTGAGTAAACTTGAAATAAGATATAACAAACTTTTCCGTAATATTAACTAAAAAAAACATAGGCCTACTAGGACTTCTTAATATTAAGAAATTATTCACTCAAAACAAGCTCATATTTTTCTGAGAAGTTGCTTGTAAGTGAGTGTTGTTTTATTTAAAGTGTACTGACATATCTGCACCAGACAGTGGACCAAAAATACTTGGTAAGATTTAGTTTTTTTGCTCAGAAACCTTCAATATCCCATTAAAAACCTCCAGGAAACATCAGGCTCAACTTCATGTACTCACACCATAATAATACAATAATCTAAGGTGATGACTGATTCATAAAAGCTCTTTGGATTCAGAAATCTCACGTTTATTCGCTATAAATCTTCCTAAGAACTATCCGACCCTCTGGCAGATAAACGATATTTATCGCTGTTGCATTCTGGGGAATGTAGGCAGAGGAAAGGCTTAAATCTCAACCCCTCATGGCTAACCACTAAGCTAGCTAGGCTAGCTTAGTGGTTAGCTTAGCCTCACTCGCTCTATGGTTACCTAGCAACAAGCTGGAGAGTAACTTGCAAAGTAGCATTTTCAAGTTTATCCCAACCTGAAAACCACAGAACCCAAACCTGACAGAAACTACATCAAACATAAAGATTCACCTCATTATGACCCTTAATGTTTTTCTTTATATCAGGAACTCGGTTACAAAATCCCTCAAACAAAAAATGACTCATTGTCTAATTAGCCTAGAAAGAAGAAGAAGAGCCGAGTCCCAACCCTGCGTACCTCCAGGATTCCTAAAACCTCGTAAAATACTGCAACCAATTAAGCACTGAGTTAACCTCAAACTACTATAAACTAAAACATCCGCAAAGAAACCAAACATAAACCAAATGAACACGAGGAGAAGAAGCTGAATTACCTTTTAAGGACATACCAAACCACAAGAGACTTAACATGACTCAACAAGTCGTAGATTTAGATTTATGGAACTATTTCACCATTCAGAGACATCAAACTCTCTGAAAGTTAAAGTACACTCTCCAGAAAGAGTCCTAAGAACCACCAGAACTGTCAAGAAACAAAGAATCTTTGTGCAAACCGTCTCAAAGGCGACGAAGAATCAATAAAACCACAAGACATTTCATAAAAAAACACTGAAAAAACAGAAATAGCTAATCACATAAAACATCTCAATGGCTTTTCTTACTGCAGCTCAACTCAACAAGTCTGAGCAGCTCCTGAAAACACAAAAATGTAGGGTAAATCTTCTTTAACCCATAAAACCCAATGAGAAACCCTTAAAACTGCCTGAATGACCAAACGACAAAACCCTTCAGTCACAAAGGAACTGTCCAAAAGACCCAACCCACCCGTCCTAAGACTGACCAGGGTAAAGTGTGCGGACAGCGCCTTGAGGACAGGAGAGGACGGGATTCCCATCGACGCCGCCATCAACTGCAGGCTGGATGTTGACGAATCGAGGCTGAAATCCTGGGGACGACAGGAGCGCATTAAAAACCAAAGAAGAAGAAAATACCAACAATCTGGAGCATCCAAACCGTTTTTACCTGGACCGTGGCGGCGTGCGCTGCAGAAATGTCCTTGAGGATTTTCTCACCGAGCGTCTTGGCCTCCAGGGCCGTTTCTCTGAACGCAGGCGGCAGGCTGGACGCCGAGCCGACCGGAGCCGATCGGACCCAAGATGCAAACAGCAAGTAGTGAAGCAGGATGATAACTGAAGGGAGGAAAAAAGCCGTAAGTCTGTAGATTAGTGCCAAATTTATCTAGGAATAATACTACAATCAGAAAAATCAGACACCAGAACTGAAAATAAAGAGCAGACTTATTTGATTCTGGGTGTAAGATATCTGATTTCAGTGGATTTTTAGATGAGTCTGTGCAGGAAGTTTGCCAACTTCACGAATTTAGCTAAATTTATTTAGCGAATTTAGCAATTTAGCAGGTAAATTTTGCGCACAATTTTCACAAGTCATCACAATGTTTTCACAAAATGCTTTCTGTATTTCCGTCTTTAACATTTTATTTAATTTCCCTTTGGAATCAAAGTAGTTTCAGGAATTTGAATTTCTGTATTTCCGTCTTTTCTGACCTCTCAGACCCCTTCTAATTGAACTTTCTGTTTCTCTACGTCTCTTAAACGCCAAACCTGTGATTTTTTATTTTATTTTGCAAAAAACATTTTTAGATGTTCCGTATGATTTGCGCTTACAGTTCCTGTTACCTTGATTTAGCATATATGGAATTACTTTCTGCACTTTGTCAATTTTTTAAAATATTGTTTGCACTTTAAATATGTTAAAATCTTGACCCTTTTTGTCAGTTTATTGGCAACATTTTCATTTTTTGTAAAACAAATATAAAGCTTTAAAAAATAGCAAATTTGACCTCAACTTTAAGAAAAGATGCCTGAAAATCAGTAATGTAATTTTACACCATGACAATTAAAAAAGACATTGCAACATTCATGCAAACTCCAAGATGCCTCCTTGCTATAAAGAGAGATGGAAGAAATCTAAATTTGTAATAGAAGAAAAGGTATAATTTTGTTTTATATTGGTATGATTTTCACCCATATCTGCAAAACATTTATGAATAAATAATAATATCAATCAACTAAATCCCGGGACTTTTAATTGGCTTCTGAGATAATGAACACACACCTGTGTGTTCATGAAACACAGGTGATGCTGGAGGGACAACGTTCATTTCATTAACATTTGCTAATCTTTCAGTTTTTGGCCTAATTAGTACAAATGTATCCAGAAAACACCTGGAAACAGTTTATTTCAGCCCGCAGTCTGTCTGTTAATGCTAATAAATCACTAATTAATCACTTTTAAGGCTTTAATTCAATTAACATGTTTATTTTATAGTTTCTTGTTTTGGCACCACCAGCCTCCCATACGAACCGAGTCCAGAACCAGCGGCTGTCTGCTAGTCCTGACAGCTCTGAGGCCGGCCTGCTCTCCAGCTGTGAACCTACCTGTCCAGGTGTCCATGTCTGTCAGGTGGCCGGTGTGCGTGTGTCAGTGCGTGTCCGCTCCGCAGCTCCACAGTTTGTCTTTCAGCTTCCATTTGGACCAGTTTGGACCTTTTATCTGCGCTGTGCTCCGCCGCGGGGTTTCCCATTGATGGGGAGTCATTCCGTTAAGAAGTTACGAAGTTACGACGTTTCAGAATCTCTGATGCGTCACGCTGCTGTGCACGCGCACGAAGAGCCGCGCAGGGTGGGCGGGTAGTAAACCACGTGACCTTTTCTACTGAGACACTTCTGAGTATCCAGGTGAAATTATCCACCACACCCTCTTCAAACTAAACAAAACTGACAGGAGGCAATGAGGCAACTGTGCAGGAAAGAATTTGTTTGTGCTGCTGTGCTTTTTAATATATATAAAAAAATATATATATACATATTAATTAATACTATGTATTTATTTGTTTATTTTATTCATTTCATTTGTGCCGCTTGTTAGTTAGTTAGTTAGTTAGTTAGTTAGTTAGTTAGTTAGTTAGTTAGTTAGTTAGTTAGTTAGTTCTGCTAATAAATGCATCAATAAATGTTTCCCGAAGTCAATTAATCACTTTTAAGGCTTTAATTCAATTAACATGTTTATTTTATAGTGAATAAGCTTCCCTTCTTACAAAAATTGCAAAGTGCACAAAAATTTCATAAGTTTGTGTCAAAACAAACATAAAAAAAACACTTTTGCAAATGACAAAAAAATTTTATTTTTTGTGTGAATTTGCACAATTTACAAAAATCATGCAATCTGGTATCAATCAACTGTTCTGCAAAAACTGTCTAGCTGCACAATAATGTAAAAAATTATAATTATTAATAATTTATATTTATTTTGTGAGCTTTTGGGAAAGGGATAAGTTAATTTCTGCTGACTTTTGAAAAAAATTTTAATCTTAAAAAATGATAACAGCACAAATGCATCAGAATTGACTAATGCCATATTTCTTTTGATTTTGTAAACATGAAGGAAACATTAATATTGTTCAAATGACAGCAGCAAAAATGACCATTTTTGTTGCACAAAGATTTATTTTTGCTTAATTTGAAGAAGGTGGAGAATCAAAAAGATGTAAAACTTCAACATCCTGTTAGTATATCAGATTACATGACAAAAATGCAAAATATTAGCAAGTATTTGTGCAAACATCTTAGTTTACTTTAAAAGAGAAAGCACTAGATCCAATGGCAGATTATTTCATTAATAGCAAAACATTTCTCTTCATTTTAGTGAATTGTAAGTTAGTTTACAGTCTTACTTCAAATTATAAACTAGAGATTACACCAGAAACTCTTTGTGATATTTTATGTTTATGTTCTGCAGGTTTGATTATTGAGTAAAAGTGAAAATAATTAGAGGTTTTGTGTGAGAAAGAGTTAATAATTTCACTGCTTTCCATCTCAGCTGCACCTGTACAGGTGAACCTTGCAGAGCGACAGCGTCATCCTGACTGCAGGGGTTTCAGAGGGAGTCTGCAGGTCACTTCACTTCCTGCCATTTGAACTGGTGGAAATGCACCGAAGGTGTGTTTGAGTCTCAGCCTGGGTGTGTCTTCATTGTGTGACTGTGCTTTGTCTTCCTGTGTGTCATCATGTGTCGCTCTTTAGGTAATTCTGGAAGCTTGTGAGTCAGCAGGAAACGCAGATTGTTTCCTTCTCGACGCAGGTTCCAGTCGATCCCTTAATCCTGACAGAAATAAAATTCCAGCACTTCCTTCTGGTTTTATTGTGTTTACAGTAAAAGTTTCTGAGGAAAATGGGAGTTTTTAAGGTTACAGTTGGAATAAACCCAGGAAGTGTTTGCATCCATCACTGGTTTCTCTGCAGTTTTTATGTGACTGTTTCACAGAAATATTCACTTTGTTGAATAATAAAGAATGTTTCTAATTCTAGTTAAATATTTAGCCTCATACTAAATATTTATTATCAACTAAATATTTTGTTTCAAATGAAACATTTATCTCATGATCTAAATATTTATATTTGTCGTCAAACTAAATATTTCACCTTGTACTAAATGTTTTGTTTTAAACTAAGTTTTAGCTTGATTACTAAATACTTTTTAAGTGAAACTAAATACTTACCCAAAGTACTAAATATTTAGTATCAACTAAGTATTGTATTTATGATAATCATAATATTAACATTAAATATTTTGTATTTAATGTAGCATGAAATTAAATTCAAATATTTAACGTAATACTAGCGTTACATTAATGATAACCTATGTATTTAGCATCAAACTAAATATTTAACTCCATACTAAATGTTTTGGTTTAAGCTCATTTTAATTTGATTATTAAATATTTAGAGTAAAACTAAATATTTATACTCATACTAAATATTATGTCAATTACTAAATACTTATTTAGGATAAACTAAATATTTACATTTAGTGTAAATCTAAATTTTCAGCTTACTAACTAAATATTTAGCTTGATACTTAATGTCTTTCAAAATAAATAATTAGCTCAATAACTAAATACTTAACAACATAGCAATTGTTTTGGTTCGAATTAAATATCAGCCGCAGACTGAAAACTTAATTTCAAACTAAATATTTAGCTTGCTGTGTAAAAATGTATTTTTCATGTCAGATTCATTATTTAGCTTCCTAGTGTTTATGTTAGCAAACCATTAAACATTCATTAACAGCATAACCAACAAATGTTGCATCGATGTCAGATTCTTCAACAACCTGAAAACAAAACTGGCAAAAACATCAAAAACAGGAACAGGCGAAACTTTACATACAGAAACAATAAAATCTAAACCAGCAACTAAAGTATGTCATAAAAATGGAAAAACTGGGGTTTTATGGGGATTTTAGTTTATCATATGATGCAGATATTGTTTTTGACCATATATTTCACAAATAAGAAGAAGTGGCAAAATTCCTCGTGAAAAGTGGGGAAAGAAACAGTTTTGTTTTTTAAAAAATTGCATTTTTACATTCAGCCACTTCTTTCCTCAAAGTCCCAAAAACAATTTCATTCTTAGAAAATTCAAGTAATTTTGGATTTTAATAGAAAGGCCAGAGATTAGATGAAATCTTTACATTAATTAAAAAATATATAATAGTCTGAGAAACTTTCTCAGCTTTTTTTATAATTTGAAAAGAAATGTGAGAAATAATTTGGATTTGACGTAAAAGAATTTCCTAATTTCAGGATTTTCTTCAGCATTTCAGAGGCAGGAAGTTCCCACCGCTGATGACACCTGGATCCTGTAGGTAATTGGCTGAGTCACAACTACATGTTCCAAGAAAGTTCAGACTGATGCAGTGCTTGGGAACCGGTCCAGAACCGGACCTGGTTGATGTGGGAGGCCGTCTTCTCCACGGCCCGGAGCCTGTTGGGCTCCAGGATCCAGGGAGGAAAAGTTATCAGTAAATAAGATTAACTGGGCTCAACATGTTGCTCCGTTTAACGTAAAATTAAACATGAATCGCACCAGAACCTGCTGAACCAGAACCATCTGCTTGATTACACTCAGAGGAAAAAGTAGAAGCACTTCAACATATTTTAATTAAGTGAAAGAAATGACTCAAGTAGAAGTAAAAAGGAAAGGGTAATACTAAAATACTCCTGAAAATACATTTTCTGAAAAAAAAAAAAAACAAGTAAATGTAACTAGTTACTACCCAACTAAACTACTTGCACCCAACTTTACAGTGCAGTGCTGAGGAAAAGTATTTACCCCCTTACAAAGCTCTTAAAGTGGAAAAAATTCTCATTTCATGTTTTTTCTTGGTCCTTTTTGACTTGTGTATGAAAAAGTAAAAAAATATCACAGAAAAAACTTATTTAAAAACAAAAAACACTGGTGGCTTAACAGTTTTGTCCGAGTTCCTCCAGAGCCTGGAGGGCCACATGACAAGCAGTCGCGGACCAGTTTTGGCCCCGGAGCCTCGAGTTTGACACACGTTGTAATTAATGCAGGTTCTGTTTCTTCGTTTATTTAAACATTTTCTAAAAGAACTGTGACTCTTCCATTTTAAATCCTGGTGATTCATCTGGTTCCGTCTGATTGGGACCGTCTTGTTCTGGTTCTGTGTTCTTTTCGTCATGTGTGTTCATCGTGTGTTGACTTTATTCGTCACAATGATCCGTCCTCAGCAGCATTACTCATCTCTGACCAGAGGTTCTGACTAAGCATGCTTTCTGTTTTGTTTTCTGCAGCGCCCCCTGCTGGTTCACACTCAGTAAAAAGCACAAGCAGCAGATTAAACAAAAACAAGATTTATTTGTGTCAGAAACAAGAAACAGCAGCAGTTTAAAGCTGCAACACAGAAAACAGGGAGGGAACAGAAGGGATTGTGGGTAATAAGTGATCTGTTAACACCTAACTACTTCCTGTTTGAACAGGAAGTCAGCGGAGAGGCTCATGGGAAGCTGTCGTCGTCATCTTCAGCCATTTCTTTGGCGAACTCCAGATCCTGCTGCTCCCGTTCCCGACGCTCCTGAACGCACCACGGAGTGAAACAGAGGCAGGTTAACGATTATCATGTAAATAAATTGTTTATAGGAAGACTTGATGTTTAATATTTTACTTTAATTATGTTCTAAAAATGAATTAAAACAACTAAATCTGGTTTTAGTTTTTCTGATGATGCATTACATTAAAAACATGCTGAATATTCTGACTTTTAATGTTCAAATATATAAATACTCGACAAATTGGTGTTTAATGTCTTAATAATAAATAAAAGTTTCTGGTTTTACATCCTCAAAGTGTAACTAAACCACAAATAAACTTTATTTTTGCTTTTAACTGTGTAAACAGGACATTTAGGGTTTTACTTTTATGTTTTTTTATTTTTGACATTTTTGTACATATTTTATTTGGTTCTGCTTTGTTTTTTGAATATTCTCAGTGCTGCCCTCTTTAGGTAGAATGTTGCCTATACAGTTGAATTATTGGTGCAGCTTTTTGTTACAAAACCACATTTTGGTATTAAATATTGTGAAAACAATAAAAGTAAGAATAAAAACTGCTACTTCTGGTTTAGGTAACTGAATCAATGTGACTCCATTT